GCTTATTCTATTTTTTTCTGCATGAACGGTTTAAAAATAAATGATGCTTGATTTCACGAATATGTATAGCCTGTTTCCTTTCACTATATATGGATTAGTTTCACTTTGAAATTTTGGACTTCGTTTTAACTGGAATCTCGAAATAAAAGATGCAAGCATATGCATTTTCCCTGATCGGTTTGTATGTATAGCATTTATAATCACTTCAGTGCATTGACAAAATTCGGTTCTAATTTTTAGAATGCGCATCATAAATTCTACTCATAATATGAATTATAAGCAATATAGGAGTCTCAAACATTAATATTCATACGCATTCAAAAATTATCAGTTCATAATGCAAACGAGCAGAGCAAATTGTACCCGGTTCGTCACCAACTACATTATTCACTCCAGCACTGCACCTTACATGCAGTCAGTGGCTTTAAGAATCAGGAGTGCATTAAGAAAACGAAGTATAACATTCCAATCAAGACCTGTAAATAAATAACAGAAGAAAATTAGAGTAATCTACCTCAGCTCCGTTGAAAATATTAGAAATAGTTATTACCAATATTTTCCTAATATTTATTGAATTTGAAAATTATTTGGAACGTGCAGGTAATTTGATGCCGGCACTTATCCACATGTTTTCTTATCCACATCTAATGCGGTGGTTCACAACCTGAAGGTAAATATGATGGTAAAATATCTACTGATGTATAACATTTTTGGGTTTAGTTGAGAGGCGATGGGAGTTTCTCAATGATGTCTAATTTTCCTCAAAAGCTTGAAGCTCCCATTCCCATCCATCACATTATTGTTAGGGCCATTCTACACAATAAACATAAGAGATGAAGCTAGGTTGAACGCAACAAATAAAATGAAAGTGATTTAGTTTATTCACACATTTAAATGATGTCTACATATGCAAAATGAACATTATTAACTCAAACTTGATAATATCAAAACAGACTGGAAACAAACACATCCGGGGCCCATCAATAGAGGCCCATCCGTAACCTCAAGACATAACTTACGCTCACGTTGACCTCCAGCATGAGACTTCTACTTGATTGTGGGCTACACCTTCTGAACGACAGCTACGTATTTGAACCCTGAGACAAAAAATGTTTTCAATGTAAGTCCACTTATAACAATAATTATCGAGTATCCCGGCATGTAGTATGCCATCAGTTCCAATCGATAAGGAATGAACAAACTACTTTTTTGCATTAATAATAAATAAATAAATAAATAAATAAATAATAAATAAATAAATCTATCAGTCAGCCGGAGCGCGTAATTCAGGCTGCCGTGAGTGCGTAATTCAGGCTGCCGTGAGTGCGTAATTCAGGCTGCCGTGAGTGCGTAATTAAGGCTGCCGTGAGTGCGTAATTCAGGCTGCCGTGAATGCGTAATTCAGGCTGCCGTGTGAGGAAAGTTGCAGTTCAATATATCAGATTGTTTACTTTGACATGGTAATGAGCATGCAAGCAGGTTGCAATAAATTTGCTCTTATTAATTCTACATGGATCATTATATCGTGACGCACCACTAATACTTTTGGTTATGCTATCCCTCACACTCTCTACTTTTTCTATTTCATTAATATACTCAAATAGAGTATTATTTATAGTGAATACCTCACTATTAAACGACATACTGATAATACTGAAGACTGAGTAGTTCACATCAAAAACATGTTCACATAAAGGAACGAAATAACCGCAGGTGTGGCACAGGCAAAGTCAAATAAAATTTAATTCAAAATTGCATGTTGCACTTCTTGACACGGGAAACATAAATTAGAACAATTTTTTGATAAGTTATAAATTCATGTATTTAAACCACCACAACGTCGACTCATCGCATTCATCACAACGAATTTAACTTCTAAGGGATTTAGAATAAGATATCTTCACATAGGTCATGATAGGTGTTTTTGCATAATCAAACATTAACCATTCAGACGATATGAAGGTGTAATAAAGGCATAGGTGGAGTTCTTGGATAGTTGCAGTTGCTGGTAGTGCGCATTATTAGATAATTCATACGTGACACCATTACGATGACTCAAGTCAATGCAAGGCGGCGACAGCGCGACCGCGTTACTGTGTCTGTGGAGAACGACATTGTAATAATATGCGTTTAAAAATTACCTTCTAAAGACAACACTTCTAAAGAATACAGTGTCTCCGATGTTACACATCTACAATGAATTTCTAATTTTATTTCCATATATTAAAAAAATAATTTCAAAATTTTTGAATATGAGAAAAATTTAAATTTTCAAAATTATTTATAGTGTCAATTGATTCATGCATTGTCTCCGACTTTATGCAAGTGTGCAAAATTGCAGATCGATTAGAGGGGTAGAAGTGTGTTGAACATCGATTATAAGATTTGTAGAAGACAGACAAACAAGAAGTTAAGTTAAAGAAAGAGGTGTTGTAAAATATCAACTTGAATTCCTTAGCAAACTAATTAACGATCTTCGTGATTCCTTTAACTAACTAACGATCTTCTTGATTGAGTTAATCAGCAAGAATTTCGCACCTTATGGGAGCTCATCGAAAATGTTTCCAACTCAAAACGACAGTTGCGTATAAAAAAAATATTATCCTCGAACCCGTTTCTTTTGGAGGTTCGTGTCCGCAGCGCACCAGCATTAGTACTATAAGTCCATTAATAAATGAAATTGTATTGTTATGTCGCACTACGAAGTTAAATATGAGCAGCTTTGAAAGTTTATAAACCGTTAAAAAAAATGTCGTTCACGTTAGCAATTCGAATGCAGAACAAGCATCGATATAATTTATACATTTTATAGTATAGGTAAAATTAGGAGATTATTTCAGAGTAAATAGAAGGATATTGCAATGCAAGGTACAAATAATATAATATAATAACTGGCACCCAGTACACCAGTGCACGCTGTTGCCTGCCACATTTGCCTCATTGGATCAGCACCAATAAAGTCAGGAAATGCAGTATCATAAGTTAATAAACTAAACAAACTTCTGGCCTAAGAAATAAAAATCAAATTTTTTTCTCGAAGTTTGCACCGAAGTCGCGAGTAAACAATCAAATATATTGACTTTATTTTTCCTCGTAGTTAACAGTTGAGTTGCTCGTATGAGAACATCAAACTTTCTCATTTATTTGAAGTTTATTCTCAAGTCTCACAGGAAATGAATTTTTTTTGGAACACCACAAAATAGGGCGCACAAGTTGACGTTTCATGAAAATAGAAAGAATTTTGTGTTTATTAACTATTATGTGCTTTACAAGGTGTATTACTTCATTTCGACGAGCAGCACATGAACGTGATCTACGTTTCATGGTGACAAATAATTTCATTTTAAGGCAGTTATACTTTAAATCGTCAATTACCGAGGATTCATCCTATTACTATTAGCCTACAGATTCAATCGATTATAAGTTAACAAATACATTAGCATTTATCGCAAGTAGTCGTCACTATGTCAAGATTGTAATATTTCGCTGGCCAGTTTAGAAAGATTGCAACTATAAATTACTAATTCACTTAGTGCGGTTACGCTTTCCGGCTAGAGAGCGAAGGAGATTCCAATGTTAGGACTGGTTTGTGCGTCTGCTGCACGATGCAAGACGCGTTCGCCAGGTGTTCCTGGCGTGGGCCTGTATGGAGATGCCGATTTCCAGGTTGAGTTCTGGGAGCCGGGGTCGGTTGGGTTGCGCGCCCTGATGTCATCCCGTTGCTCGATGAGCAACCGGGTGCCAGAGTTGACTGAAATGGAGAAGTCCTTCCGTAATCCAGCAGGGATAAGCTGTCTGGCAGCGGCCGTCAGGACTTTTCTCAAGGTTGACTCACCGCCACACGAGGTGGGGGGAGGGACCATCTCGAGTGCCGCTTCGATGGCTGCCGTGTAGGCGGGCCAGTCAGCTTTCTTAAAGTTGACGTAGGAGCGGGCGGCCCGGGGGTCGGACAGTTGACGGAGGTAGGGAGATGAATCAGAATGGGCAGGTGGTCCGAGTTGAGAGCGACTTGAGGAGTCCAGGAGGTGTTGAGGAGTAGATGACCGCTGATGATGGCGAGGTCCGGTGAGGAGGGCAGGCCATGGGAGGGGAGGCGGGTCTGGGAGTCTTCATTGAGGTAGGCGATGGAGGAACCGGCGACGAGGTCGTCGACTACGGCTCCTCGCGCTGCGGCTCTCTGGTCTTCCGTGTGGGAGAAACAGGGGGGATGATGGGCAGTAAAATCGCCATCAGACAGTCACCCAGGATGGAGACAATGTCTGAGAGCTCCGGGGGAATATCCAGGGGGGCAGGAGGAGGCCGGTGGGATCTAAACATTGATGATGCAGATGGGAAGCCATTAAGAGGGGTGGAGATTGCTATGGCCTCCATGGTGGAGTCGCCGCGTAGGAGGGGAGAGATGTCTCGCCCGGTGTACGGGACGTCGTGGCGGATCAGGATGAGGAGACCGCCACCGTGACCTCCGGGGCGGTCCCTGCGCTCCAGCGCGTATCCTGGGAAGGTGAGGGGGATGCAGCTGATAGCTTGGTCTCTTGGAGACAAGCAACCGCCACGTCGTACTTGGCGAGATAAGCAGCACGGAGAGTGACATACGGCGGTAGAGGGTTAAGTCTCTCGAGGTGAAATGTGGAGCGTGACTCCTAGAGCGCGAAATGTTTTAGAGTAATTACCGACAACGAAGGGAATCGTACTGAATAAAGCATAACCCAATTTTGAGACGATGTTAATGAATGTATATTGAAGTAAATGCATCGTGTAAAATTTTACATTGCTTTGAAATTCGTGCATTCAGGGTATTTTAACCTCACTGGTTGACGAGAGCGGGGCTCAGCATCAGAAAGACTAAACCCGAAAAACGTTGATGAACAAAAATGGACAAAATTCACAACACGTCACTGCTCGACGCTGCGTCGTCACACGTCAGCGCTCGACTCTACGTCGAGCGCTTCTCACATTCCCAGCATCGACAAGCGAGAAATTGAGTAAAAAGAAACAAAATATTTAATTTGAGTTGATTTTTTTTACAAAGTTTCTACACAGTTTAGCGATGTAACGAAGGTTGCTCCGAGCTCCTCGTCGCCCGGGCGTCTCTCAGGACGTGCATCGTTGCAGTCGGAAACTGCCTCAGCTGATGCTGTGGGAACATGCACATAATTAAACATGAACATGATGAACACGTACATGGTGGATACGCACGTTTGTCCACGTAAACACTTGTGGACAAACACACAATGAACTGTTTGTCCACAAGTCTTTGCGTGGACACACGCCTCCGTGACACGCATGACTCTCAGGACACACCTCCGTGACACGCATGACTCTCAGACACACACCTCCGTGACACGCATGACTCTCAGACACACACCTCCATGACAGGCATGACTCTCAGACACACACCTCCGTGACACGCATGACTCTCACACACCTCCGTGACACGCATGACTCTCAGACACACACCTCCGTGACACGCATGACTCTCAGACACACACCTCCATGACACGCATGACTCTCAGACACACACCTCCGTGACATGCATGACTCTCTGGACACACGCCTCCGTGACACGCATGACTCTCAGGACACGCCTCCGTGACACGCATGACTCTCAGACACACACCTCCGTGACACGCATGACTCTCAGGACACACCTCCGTGACACGCATGACTTTCAGACACACGCCTCCGTGACACGCATTACTCTTAGGACACACCTCCGGGACATGCATGACTCTCAGACACACACCTCCGTGACATGCATGACTCTCAGGACACACCTCTGTGACACGCATGACTCTCAGGACACACACCTCCGTGAATCGCATGACTCTCAGGACACACGCCTCCGTGACACGCATGACTCTCAGGACACACACCTCCGTGACATGCATGACTCTCAGACACACACCTCCGTGACACGCATACTCTCTGGACACACACCTCCGTGACACGCATGGTCCTCCGGACACACACCTCTGTGACATGCATGGCACTCAGGACACACACCTCCGTGACACGCATGACTCTCAGACACACACCTCCGTGACACGCATGGCCATGCCCTCAGGACACATGCGCTGCGTATACTCGAGGAAGGTGTCGGCAGTGGAGCCAGTGAGGTGGTGCAGGGTCAGGGTCATAGGGTACGTCTGCATCTCGTACTGCACGCGGTGCTTGCCGTGGATGTGGATAGACTTAAGCAGCGTCAGACGCTCGTGTGTGGGCGTGCCAAACTGCCTGTTAGTGCGTAAACGTTTATTTTTTGGCAATGCATCCATAGTAGACCTAAATACAACATCATTTAGTGGCGTCATAAACCTACAAAAAATCGTATAAAACTAGACGAATCATAACATAGTAACTGTAAGGAATTTAAAAGCAAAGAAAACGCCAAGAAAATTGACCATATTGATATTGAAAACGTTTCGAAGTTCAGCTCCATCATCAGTTCGACTAAACTAAAAATGAATAAATCACTTTAAAAGTCAAAATTCAAAGACAGACATAAAACCTAAACAAGACCTAACATTATATAGAAATAAACAGGACTAGTTTAGAACAACTTAGTCTTAGGGGTACGACAAGAATATAAAATCCTAGCAATTTTATATTCTAGGATTTTATATTCTTGTCGTACCCCTAGGACTAAGTTGTTCATAACTAGTCCTGTTTATTTCGATATAATGTTAGGTCTTGTTTAGGTTTTATGTCTGTCTTTGAATTTTGACTTTTAAAGTGATTCATTTTTAGTTTAGTCGAACTGATGATGGAGCTGGACTCCAAAACGTTTTCAATATCGATATGGTGAATTTTCTTGGCGTTTTCTTTGCTTTTAAATTCCTTGTGAACTTGCGATATAAGCAGACTAATAATATAGTAACTGTAGAAAAGTGAAAATTTGTTATGACACCAGGTGCTGTATAGTAGAAACAAGCTACAATAACATGATTTCTAAGTTACCAGGGTAATAGGTAATAGGGTAATAAACAAATGGAGGGTAACTTAGGGTAATAAACAAATGGAGTAAATAACTACCAACTATAAGGCAGTAAATCATCAATCTTACATCAATAAAAAACTTACACTGGCTGGGCATTTATACCCAGGTGGGCACAAGTCATTGCCATAAAGCGAGAGTAGCTCTCCAGCACAGACTTCTCATGCCCTTCGCAGTGAACTTCCAGCTTCCAGATGAGGCGGTCATGCACTGCATTTTCCTGTGAAATGCAGACCTATGTTATATTGTGATACTTTCTCTATTGATATGCCAACAATATGTTATAGTTTGATATTACCATTCATTTAAATAATACCGGTAATTTGAGTGATGCTCACTCTATGGGTATACCAAAATATGTTATACGGTACCGTACCAGTAGTGTGATGCTTGTTTTATTTTTATATCAACAATATAGTACAGTCACTGCAACATATTATTGTTTTGCACTGTATTAAATGCAGTGTGATACACAGGAGCTCATTGACGTACCTACTCCTCTGAAATTGATATTTTCCAGCCTTGTGTGGAAAAATTGGTATAAATGAAAAAGCTGTAGTATATAATAAGAAGCAATTAACAGGACAGCAATAGTGATTACTTCAGTTTTTTATAGCTTATAAGTCTAGACATGAACATGAAGTAAAAATGATACCTTGAGTGGCAGGGCAGCATCATTAGTAACAGGAAGAGGGGAAGAGGTGGGTGTGCTGGAGCTGGACAGGTATTGGGCTCTCAATATTGACCATCTGTGCCCAGGCTGTTAAAGTATGAGGGCCATTCAGAAACTGGGGAACGTTTTGTAATAAAACAAAAACTAGGTCCAGGAAAAACATTTTATTATATACATCTGAAAGAGTGACTAAAATGCTACCTTTCTACATAGTCACCAAACAAATTATGGTGCTTATTGTAGTGGTGGACTGGCTTTAAAATTCTTTTGCCATAGAAATCTGCCTCCTGCAATCTCAGCCACTCAGTGAAGCATGCCCATTGCCCAGAGCTTGTCATCATCATCAAAATGCTGTGTCACTAGCCAGTTCATCTTTTGGAACAAGTAAAAATCACTCAGTGCTAGGTCTGAACTGTACAGTGAATGTGGGAAAATGCATTTTGACAACAATAACAAGCTCCAGGTGTGCGTCACTGAGTGGCTGAGATTGCAGGTGGCAAATTTCTATGACAAAGGAATTTTGTAGCTTGACCACTGTGATGATAAGTACACTCATTCATTTGGTGACTATGAAGAAAAGTAGCATTTTAGTCACAATCAGATGCATGTATATAATAAAATATTTTTTCTGTACCTAGTTTTGGTTTAATTACAAAATGTTTTATAGTTTCTGAATAGCACTTGTAAATGGACAGTTGAGATAATTGAACATTCAGACCCCATTCATAATACAAAGCTACATCAATATTATAAGTTATTATTGATAATTAGCAGCACAATGTTCAATTGAAAAAAAAATCTGCAGAGATTGCTTTTGTCAAATTGGATATTTTAGCCATGTTCATCTCAACTGGAATTAAAATGAAGCTGCAAAATTCTTTGGATTGTTGAGAAAAAAAAAATAAGGATTACTTGGTATGGTAGTGTCTCTACAGTAGATATCAAATTGAATAAAGAAATCAAAAAAATTATACTTCAACTACTTCTCAAACACAATAGAAAAAAATCTTGAAATTTTGCAGCTTGTTAGATATCCAAGTTTTTCTCAATGATGCTGATCTTTTACTTTTTAAGCAAGTGATAATTATAAGGTAAAAACATGAGCTGAAAGCATTGTGAACTTCCAGCCAATTAATAAAGTTGGAAAAGCTTGGCACATCATCAATGGTTGTTTCAGTACCCTATGGATATGATATGCACAGATGCATTAAGTTTGAGACTCACTTTGAGTTAATTAATTTTGCAGTTGTGAAAATTTTTGACTTGACACATATTCATTTGGTAATACTTTAGATTAAGTGCATCCAAAAAAAGGGTGTTTTTTTAATTATATGTTTTTTGGGGCGTATATTAAGAATCTGAAATCCGTTTTTGTCGGTCAGCATCGGAAAGCCGATTTTTTTCCAATTTTTTATATATTTTTCATAGAAAACAACAATGGGGGACCCATGGGGAACTGGGGGTCCCCCATCGGGCAAAAATTGGCAAAATTGGCGAAAAATGCACTTAATCTAAAGTAATACCACCTAACCTAACCTAACCTAGTGCGATTTTTGGGTTTTACATAGGTTTAGTCATTCCCAGATCAATGTAGATCATTTCCAGTCAAAAAACAATTTCCCGATTTTTGCCAATTTTTCACAATTTTGACAATTTTTGCCAGATTTATTTGACAAATTAGAGCCTTGGGCGTGTCACCCCCACCCCCCCTAAAACCCCCGGTTCCCCACGGGTCCCCCAGTGTCATTTTCTCTAGAAAATATATAAAAAATCAGAAAAAATTGGTTTTCCAATGCTGGCCGCCAAAAATGCATTTCAAATTCTTAATCTACACCCCAAAAAACATATAATTAAAAAAACCTTTTTTTTGGATGCACTTAATCTAAAGTACCGTAAAATGGGGTTACGTTGACCGGCGGTGTAACTTTGACCACTTTTCATTTTTTTAACAAAAACCCACAAAACTCAAAAACGATTTGACATAGAAAAATTTTGTCAATGGCCATCAAAGGCCTAATACTGAGGCTACGTAACACAATAGAAAGATTTAAAAAGTTTGCATATCTAATAGGTTAAAAAATTAAAAATGTGACCCACTAAAAAGAGCTATTATTTAAAGCCTGTCGGAGTACCCCCTCAAATTTTTTTTATTTTTTGGTAAAATAACTCCAGGTTTTGATGCATTGTAGTAGAACTCTTCTAGTTACATATGCAAAAGACAAATTTTAGAAAAGTGTCATGGTTTGCAAATGGGGGGCACCACCTCCCAATGGGGTAACTTTGACCACCTAATGGCAGCCATGATGGGGTAACATTGACCGGCTTGGAAATTAAGTTAAAATTACCATAGGTACCTATATAACATATTTTATGTTTGATACGGGTACACCCATTAATGTTTTTTTCTTTATGTTTCAGACTCTACAGAGTCTTATATATGGTAATTTTAACTTAATTTCCAAACCGGTCTATGTTACCCCATCACGGCTGCCATTAGATGGTCACATTTTGCCCATTTGGGGGCTGCGCCCCCCATTTGCAAACTATGACACTTTCCTAAAATTTGTCTTTTGCATATTTAACTAGAGGAGTTCTACTACAATGCACCACAACCTGGAGTTATTTGGAGTTATTTTACTAAAAAATAAAATTGATTTTACCACCCGGTCAAAGAAACCCTAAGAGCTGGGGTAACAAAGACCATTACTTTTTTTGAAATTACATCAAAACTATGAGAGGCAGGAGCCAGGAATTTATGGTGAGTAAAGCTAGCGTATAGACCTGTATTTTGCATGTTTCAATTTAAGTTCAACTTATCTAGTAAAAAAATGGCATCATTTTGAAAAAAAAGTGGTCAAAGTTACCCCCATTTTACGGTAATACCATTCATTTTTAGAGATATGAATATATTTTATAAGACATGAAAATCTGTTTTAAGCAACAAACTCATTTGACATTTATTAAGAGACAAAAACTTCAACAGGCAACTAGGCAAGATAGGAAAATACCAACTTATTACTAGTGGCACACTGGCACTAGCCACTATGCCCCAAAATCTAGCATAGAATCTATTTCTCCAGAAAATCCTGCCAACACATTTCTATTCCAGTTTAAATACCTCTTCTATTCCAGTAAAATACCTGTATTCTGTATCTGTAAGGTACTAACTAAGTAGGCTAAACTAACTAGTAAGTACTAAGTAGTAACTACTAAGGTTTACTGTTTAGGTAGTTATCATTATGAATTATGATAGGATAGAGAAATTGTAACCTAAATCTGTGAATTTTTAGAACAAGATAAAAAAGTTAACTAGTTTTTTGAAATCAAGTTTGAAAAGAATTGTTTCAATTTTCATGATGCCATTTTCTGATGCAACAAAATTGATTTTCAATTTATTTTCATTTCATATCATAAATAATTTCTACTTTGGCTGAATGAAATCATTTGATTCATTTCAAGTTGCATCAGGAGTCTGTTAGCCAATAGTACATACTACCTGGATACCAGGTAAGTCCTGAAATGAAACGTAGAGAGATAAGTGATTAAGTTAGGTATTCAAATCTTACTTCAGTCAGAATGGGGCAAATTATACCTATTTGTCTGAGTGGAATCCTAAAAATACAATTTGAGACAGAATAACATTTAAGGAAGGACATTTTAATGCCGGTTAATTACTGATAGATGCAATTTCTTTTTTATAGATATATGTAATTCGAATGAGAAAAAATTGATTAATGTGAAATATTCATGCTGGTGAATTTCTTCTTTCTTTAATTGGAATTTATGGGAGCCTCTGAAGACTGGTTCAATGCGGCCCCATCCCATGTCAGAACAGTTGAAGGAACTTGACTGAATTATGTTTTCTTGTACGTACAAAATTGGGTGTATCAAAAAAAAAATAACTCAAGATTTCTCAATGGCTGATGGGCTACAGAACGGGGCCACCAAAGTGGAGACCACACCGGGGCGGAGAGCACCACTCCAGGGCAGAAAGCCCCACTCCAGGGCAGACAGCCCCACTCCAGGGCAGAAAGCCCCACTCCAGGGCAGAAAGCCCCACTCCAGGGCAGAAAGCCCCACTCCAGGGCAGAAAGCCCCACTCCAGGGCAGACAGCCCCACTCCAGGGCAGAAAGCCCCACTCCAGGGCAGATAGCCCCACTCCAGGGCAGATAGCCCCACTCAAATTTATATTGAGGTATTGTTATTCATGCTTTAGTATAAATGTACTATGAATGACAAATTGGTATGTAGACTTGCTGCCTTTAGTGTGTATTAGGTTCCAATAAATTGAATGTTTTTGGTACAGAGGCATCAAGAGTGCAATACATTGTACACAACTAGCAGCTTAGCTAATTCTTATAAGGCTATAAGTAGTCTTTTAACTATCTGACTATTTGTTATATATTGATTACAATATACAATTTAAATATGTTAGCTAGCTTATACAGGGTGGGGCAGAACTGATTGAACAGTTTTGAGGTGAGATAAAAGAGTAATGGAGGTACATAAAGAAGAAAGTTTATATTCCTCATGATTAGCATAACATACCATTTAAAATACTTATGTTTTGAAAACAATATCAGGAAGATGGTGTCCTGTAGCTGCATCGCACTGTTGGAGTTGTTCTCGGAAGTTTCCTACAGCACATTCACACATATGGCGAGGTATGGCCATAACCTCTGCTGCAATAATCCGTCCCCTTAGCTGTGGTAGGGTGCAAGGGTGACTTTTGAACACCCTTTCTTTTAGATGTCCCCAAAGAAAGAAATCACAAATGCTCAAATCAGGTGACCTCACAGGCCACTGTAAATCACCCCTCGGAGACAAAAGACATCAGGGAAACCTGCATTTCAAAACATTGAGTGACATTCAGGTTGTGTGAGCTGTAGCCCCATCCTGCTGGAACCACACATCTCCCAATGCTTCATTTTCAACAATGTTTTCCATCCTGGGCTGGAAGAAATTTTGCATCATTGCAGCATAGTGATCGAATTTCACTGTTACGGTTACTCCCTCCTCTGAGAACGACTCCAACAGTGTGTCGCAGCTAACGGCCCCCATCTTCCAGATATTGTTTTCAAAACATGAGTATTCTAAATGGTATGTTATGCTAACCTCTAGAAAAATAAACTTTCTTCTTTATGTACCTCCATTACTCTTTTATTTTGCCTCAAAACTGCTCAATCGGTTCTGCCCCACCCTGTTATTTGAGAGGTTGACATTGTATTGGCCTTTTAGGCAATTAGAAAGAATTTCCACCCTAATACGAGTATTCTAATTAAAATATTTAATTTCAATCTTTAAATAGCTATGTGAATTTGAAACTAGTAACAAAACAATTACAATTATAAGACTATAGGATAGAATAGTTAAATGCAGTGAATGGATATAAAATATTTGAATTGTGCACATGTTTATTTCAAACAGTGTTAGATTTTCTCATAACATAAGTCTCGTTTCAAGTCGTATGAGGTTTGTTTGGTTATCGTTCAGTTTATGTTTAGTATTGGTTTATTGGTCTGAATTAAATGGGAACAGTGCAGTGGTCAGCTCACCTTTCTTCAGAAGTGTGAAAGCTTTTGCCGGTGAAGGTGTGTTTTATGATCGGTCCGTAAAGAAGCGTTGATCGGTTCAAAATGACATTGGCTAAGAATGGGTTCTTTTGAATAACCTATGGATTGGCACCATGGACTGCAGTCAGTCACTCAGTCACTACCAGTCGGTGTGTATAGACTATAAAGGGTAGAGTCTGGTAGATTTATAGGACATAAAACTAGTAGATCTATTGATAGTGCTGTGCACTGTGCAGTGTGCTATCAGCTACCTATCTGTTATGTGACTCTTCAAAACTTCAATCATCAATGTTTAGGAGGAGAAAGTCAGTTGCGTTCATTGCGAAAGCATGTGTACGATTTGCGCTCTCTAACATTCAAAATCTCTTTTGGTATTTTGCATTCGAAGGTTCAATTTCTAAAGTAATATCTCACTATTTGTAAATTAAATATTTTTTCCAACACGACTGGCTTTCTCCCTCTGAGGTTTGCCAGTCCTTTTTTTCAGTTCTTTGGTTCAATTGGTTGTAAATTCGATTTTTCAGTGACGAGAGGCCGGCGCTGACTGTTGATTCTTTCGGTTGCCTTGGTATGGAAGACTCCGGCTGCCTTGCTGGTTCACGGTTTGGCCCTCCTTCAGCCTCTGGAGCAATGGAGACTGGTAAGGAGGCTGTGTTGTTGGGTGTGGATGATGCTACTTCAGCTTCAGGTTCACTTATTGTTGAGGAGTCTGACTTGGAGAGTGTTATTGATGCTACCCCTTTTGTAATTGTCACTAGCCGGAAGCGCAGGGATCGGGAGTATAGTGGATCTGCTGAAAATCTCTATGGTGCCAAAGTTAAACGTGTAGCTGCACCTAGACCTAGTCAGGAATTATTGAGTACATCTCAATATTCTCACCCTGGTAATGGGGCTCAAGTAAAGCTTCCAAATAATGCCAACCTGCTTAGTGCTGGATCTGGGCAGACCATTTTGGTAAAGGCACAGGGTCCAAATGCCCTGACATTTCTGAAGGATCCAATTGGCCTGGCTAAAGGTATAAAGGACTCACCTTTTGGGGCCATCAATGATCTAATTGTGCGCACAAATCCTCGTCGACAATTAATTGCTCTGGAATCACCTTCACTTTGTGGTCAGCAAATGTTCCATTTCCTCTCAGTGACTACAATTGGCAAATGGTCAGTTCGCTGCTACCAACCTGGGTCTGATGTGAGAGTCTGCGGTGTTCTTGGTCCAATTGATCCCAGTGTTGATGTAGAAGAAGTGAAGGAAATAGCTAGTGCTGGTGACTTTGTTATTGAGGATATCATCCGTTTAACTAGATTCCGCAATGGAGGACGAGAGCAATCCGCTACGCTTAAGGTCTGTCTCTTATACACATCTAGATGTGTATAAGAGACAGGTCGAGGACACTATTAATCATTTCATCTTGCATTGTTCGCTCTACACAAATCAGAGGCGCAAGTTTCGCTCCAACTTGGAAAATCTTTCACTTCCTTGGAACCTTGTGTCAGCTCTTGGTGGAGGAGATATCCCTCAGAAAATACGCACAGCAGCAATTCGTCGGCTGGGACAATACCTGCTAAGCTGCAGCATGGTAAACACCCTATGAAGATGCCCAGTAACTAATCCTTTTATCTCTTCTTTCACACAACAACCACCGGCTGGTGAGAGTGAGCTAGAGATTAATCTGTGAACGACTGTTGGCAAGAGAAAGAAAGGCTCAGAGAAAAATCAAGTTGTGCTCAGACTGGGAGGTGTGATCTCATCATACCCGAAGTCTTAAAATCAATTAGAAAAAAAAAAGTGATAGCACAAGCTGCACAATAAGTGTCACTTCAGTGTGCGGGAGAAAGTCAGTTGCGTTCATTGCGCAAGCACGTGCACGATCTTGCGCTCTCTAACATGCAAAATCTTTTTTCGTATTGCTATTTGCATTCGAAGGTTTAATTTCCAAAGTAATATCTCACTATTTGTAAATTAAATAGTTTTACCATTTACCAACACGACTGGCTTTCTCCCTCCGAGGTTTGCCAGTCCTTTTTTTCAGTTCTTTGGTTCAATTGGTTGTAAATTCGATTTTTCAGTGAAGTGAGGCCGGCGCTGACTGTTGATTCTTTTGGTTGCCTTGGTATGGAAGACTCCAGCTGCCTTGCTCTTGCTGGTTCAGGGTTTGGCCCTCGGCCCTCCTTTGACGTCTGGACTCTGGAGCAATGGAGACTGGTAAGGAGGCTGTGTTGTTGGGTGTGACCGTGTGGATGATATATCCTACATGATGCTACTTCAGCCTCAGGTTCATTTATTGTTGAGGAGTCGGACTCGGAGAGTGTTGCATTGGGAGTGCATTGTCTCACACTCGGAGTGTGAGACAATGCACGCTACCCAGTGAGATCGAAAAATGTTTCAAATTTGACAGTTGACCTTGCTCTACCAAATAGTGAATAACTGTTTGTATAGGAAGAATATTATGGTTTGAGACTTTTAAATACATCTGTGAATATATTAGGAATCCTTCAAGTATACTTGTATTCACTGATTTCAAGTGGTAAATAAATTAATAGATGATTAAGTTGAGAAACGAATTTAGACACATGAAAACTAATTCCGTCACAACTTGAATTGGACACACACAGATCGTTCCAAGCTATGTACAAAAATTAAAATTTGCTTAATTAAAAGCTTAATAGTTGTTAATTAAAAGCGTAATTAAGTAGTGTTCAATATTCATTAGTGTTCTAATTCAAAGCCGTATTGTATTCCAATACAGCTCACACAGCGAACGGAATTCGAACACTTGGATGACGGCATTATGCATCAGTAGAATTTGAAGCGCGGACGGAATACGCCTCACCACATGCCGAATATTGCCACACACAGTGCCGGAATATAGGGATTTGGTAGGTTTGCATTCTAACGGCTTTTAAATAAATATGGCAACATTTTGTGAGGTTTCATCATTGCTGGCACGTATTACGGTGTTTTGCGAGTCACATAAAGCAAACAGAACTCGAGTAATGCATATGGTTATTTTGTTATAGTTTTTCATTTCTCGATGCGTCCTTAATGTGTCAGAATATACCGTGTTTACCCTTTAAAGGAGCCATCAATGATCATTTGGAGCCATCAATGATCTAATTGTGTGCACAAATCCTCGTCGACAATTAATTGCTCTGGAATC